ATGTTGTTTTTGAAAGCTTACCCAATAGTAAATGTCATCATGGCTTGTCAAAACCATTGTTACAATGCTCAATGGAGAGCTGCTACTGCAGTGTGAAAAACACTTAGTGTTCAGACTTGCACTGAAATTTTGTCGCAAGCCCTTTTCTTCCTATATCTCTGTCAGAAGGGTATCTTACTGTGTCTTTTAACTCCCAAGTAGAAAAGAACCCTAAGTATTGGTCTGTCTCAGAAATTGCCGTTATCAGCTTTCCTTTTGCCCTGATTAATTGTGGGACAATGAATGTAAGGCAGTGGCCATGTGTTTAATGCCAATTAATCCGAAGATAACAGCAAACATAAACATTCATTAGTTTTATAGCTGCTCTGTTTGTATTCATTATTTTTCCTGGCAGCACTGTAGTAAGCAGGTAGTATCAAAAAGTAGGAGGTACGTGTATGGTATCTCAGAGCATTTGTTAAAGCATTCTTCTTTGCCCTGTTATATTTTAAACAATGAGTAGGAGGTGAACGTTGACCACTGCATTTGATTTATCATTTTCTCAGTGACTAAAGGCATTGGTAATAGCCAAGAGCAATGGGCTTCATATCCACTAATGGACACTTACCCTTCTTGACCATGTTATCGCGTATAATAAGTTTTTACTATTTCTTTAGAAAGGTTAATTAGTAGAGATTTTATATGTGAAGTTCTCAGTCTTTGCATAGATAGCTTAAAAAGAGCTAAGTAGATTTACACTGCAGGTAAGAATTGTTGGTAACACAGTGGCAATGTGTGCCAGTGTATGCCAAGCTTCATAGAGACGTGTCCTTTTCCACTGCTTCTCGGGCAAGAAGGGTGAAGTCGACTGCCTCCAATTCCATCACATGAATCTGGTTTCCCAGGGTAATAAGAAGCTGATTCCCAGTGTAGTGGTATTTTGTTCTCTTGAATGTGTTGATGGTGTGTTTCGAGCTATTGTTGGTATAGGTGTTAGTTAGCCTAGTAACGTGGAGTGTGACTGCTCTGTGGTTGTTGCTATGTCTGCAGCTCAGTGTGTGGTTACCCAGCTAATGTGTAGGTAGGCAGCTTCACTACAGGCAGCTTGGTTGCTGTCAGCAGGCAGGTGGAGCTCGGGGTGGTTTAGGAAACGGATACCAAGAGCTTATTGAACTGCCTGCTGCTGCATTTACGCGGCTTCTGCTACCTAGGCCAGAGCTAAGCTCTAGTCTCACGCTTATGATGCGCTTCAGTCACATCTGTGTAGGCATGCCAGTTGTTTAAGGAGATGGGAGAGAAGGCTATGGCTAGACTTACTTTATTGTTCATAAACTAGCAAGACACAATAATTTACTGTAAGGTTTATTATAAGACTTTTTAGCCGTACTGTCAAAAATGACAAGCAAAGGTGAAGACCATACTATCCCCGTTTTCTTTAAATCGTGTCAGTGATCTGCAGCCAGGTCCACTTTCATGAGGTAGAGAAAGCGAAATTTAATCTTGTGCCCCAGACCAAAGTAAGGGATAAAATTTATTCTTTTCCGCAACCTGTGGGGTTGCAAGAATTGCAGTTCTTCCACTTCCCTGTCTCTTGCCCCTGTTTCGCACAGTGTGCTTCCATACCCACCCTGCTCATTAGTCTGCTGGAGCCTGAACAGACTTTCTTTGCTGCAACATAATTCACTGCAAGTGCTCTTGCACATCTTCTGTCAGTCCCTGGTCTTCAGAGTGCTTCATCCTGAGGGCTGAGGTGTTGAGAGGGTTCTACTCTGATTCCTGCACTTGGTCAGTTAGTGTTTTACTTGCCTTGAAACTGAAACTGCAAATACTTTGATAAGTGGTTTTATTCCAGTGTAACTGTAGAGATAATTCTTCCACCTTCATTGAAATACCATTTTGCCACTTGTGAAATAGTATTTTCCAGTCAATGGAAAACATATCTTTCATTGCAGCAGGCTGTTAGATTAATTTCATCTAGGGGAAATAAGAGTGAGAGCCTGATAAATGAGATTCTGGCAGTTTATGTATTGATGACCAAACAGTTCTTTTGGTCTTAGCTAAATCCTGGCTTTTATGAACTAGTGAGAATTTTGATGTATGTTCACTTGAGTTGGATTTGTCTTGAAAACTATCAGTCTTGCTCAGCTTTGCTAAACTTCTAATTAAGCATTCTACTTACTACATTCTAAAACTGAATGTAGTATTTAGCTGCTTTATGGTGCGCTTGACAATACATTTCAGGTGCTTTATAGGAATCATTACCACTACTTTTTTTTTTAATGAGTTTCCATTTGTATTTGACTACTGAACTTCTGACCAGTGCTCCATACACCGATCCCTCCTTTGGTCAGAGGAGTTTCTCTCCTGATGCTGTGAAAGAAGATAGTCAGAAATGGGTCTGTCAGAAGAGTTGGTTTAGGGTATAGGGTGGTTTTTTTTCTTATTGGATAGACACCTGGTCCCAAAAGTGCACATACTTTTTGTGGCTTGTTGGAACTGCAGGTAAGAATCAGGCTGTTCCCCTTGGAAACTGTGATACCAGCCCTGAGGGCTAGCCTGGACTTTAGAAATCTGATCTCTTTGTCGTGAATGACAACGTAATCTTAAAATAAGTAACTGCTGGAGCGAGAAGGAAAACTTCACAGAATTTGGACCTGTTCTAAGGAAGATACTGCTTTATCAAATGAGATTATCCAGAAGATGTGGATTTCACAGAAGTCT